TGGTCGGCGGGTAATGAAAATGTTGAGGGTACTACAAGCACCGAGATAATTACCTATTGCCGCCAGCTCGGCGGTGTACCTGGACGGCTAGTTTGACTTGAGGCAATGGTCCCGATACCGCTTGGTTTCCGCAATTCCCGGATCTCGGAAATGCATCTTGGGGCGCCAAAGACGGACCCCGGTGAATCAGCGAGAACTGTAGATTGCCACGGACATCGCGACCCGCAAAATCGCCGGACTAGAATGGCCTGGCTTTGTGCATGACACACGGAGCCCGAGACCATACATCTTCCGCGCATTTCGGTCGCCCGCGGGTGGCGGCGCTAGTTATTGTCGTGTGTGGAATCTGTGACAGGTTACTGTAGATATACGCGTTAAAGGCGGCCATGGGGGATGGACATGGAATGTGGCAGGGAGGTGTGGTTGATAGCTGGGGGGACCAATGAACTTGTGGTGCTGGGGCTGGATGACGTTGACGGGCGTGTGTGGCCCAAGATCTTCCATCTTGGTCCGGGGTTATGGAAGACCTGGGGAACAATGCATGGATGCTTCTGTTTGGAGCACAGACTTCAGGCACAATCTGTTACCAAATTGGTAAACAATCAAAGTTAGCTGGAGAAGCTTTTAACTTTGTCTCGTTGGACCAGCGCCAATCGGGCGAACCCAGTGTTGTATTAGGACTGGAGTTGACCAGAATGTGGCTAGAGGGGATTGGAGAGGACAGAGTATCAAGTAGCCTTAGTAATAAGACTGTTGCATCGCGCAAGGCCCGAGTCAACTTTATTCCAAGGTTATTCAATGCTGTCAGTGCGCACCGACGAGCCGATAGAAGAGCCAGCCGACTGAAAACGACGGTGGAAAAGACTGTAGATAAATCGCTTGATAAACGCGGGCTTGTTATCTCTGTGGGTGCTCTGATAAACGTGGGTCAGGGTTTGGTGCCAATTGCTGGTGCGGCGATGTGATGAAGAAATGGTAGCCAATAGTACCAAATGATGACGCACTCGGCGGCTGCGGCTGCTGCAATCTGTGATAATATTAGTCTAATGAAATACGACAAGCCGGCCAGTTTCAGTCATAGCTATGTACGAGGCCAAAAGTGGTGGGAAGTGCTTATCGGTACAATGCAACACTTGAAGCGCCGGGGTAATTCCCGTAGTTCGCTCTCGAGTCAGGGTCACAATCTCGCAGATAATGGTGATAGCGGTTCGGAGCACCGTGGCTGCGAAAAAGCTCGTCGTAACCTTGGCATCGGCTTGGATGACTCCAGATGTCCAGATTGTATGTATGGAGTAGATTGCAGAGTCGGCCGTGTGCCCAGGAACTAATCTGTCTCTCCTTTCTCTCCGTGGTTCTTTCCTCTCGTGGTCCCGCCTTCCCGCCAAGCCGGATTCCACCTGCGCCTTCCGTTTGCCCAAATTTTCTCCTTTTTGAGAAGGCATCTGCGCCGTCGGAAGAACCAAGCGCCTTCCAAATTTCCATTTCTCCAACTTTTCTCCAACGCGACGGCCTAGATCGTCGCCAACAAGGTGTCGACCCGCTTCTCCGACGCCCTCAACGCCTTCTGCGCCTTTGCGACGCCTTTGTAGCCCTCACTCGCCTCCACGTTCAATTATCGCCGTTATCGTGTGGCTCAAAACTGGCCCCAAATTTCTGTCAGTGCCGTCCTACCACGACACAAATACAATCCGCACAAGACGGGAGCAATCCGCACACCAAGTCCTGATCAGGCTGGTCATCACCCAGCTGACCCCCTCCAGCATCCTCATGTTGTCCGCGTTGGTCCACGTTTTCAACCCCATGCCATTTGGTGCGCCTCCCTAGACTCTGCAGGGCGCACCCCGGGATCGGGCGCTCCCCCAAGCCTTCTCATTGGGAATCGTGATAGCAGAGGTGGCCTTGGCTTGGGGTAATTGCGACGTGTGCTAGCCCTCTGCGCCGTGCGCCACCCAGCTCTCTGGGCCGGGCGAAGCGGGAATCAACAGGGAAAAGCCATTGTCAGGGTATTCTTGGGGCTCCCGTCTCCCTCCATACTACGGAGTATACATATGGTTGGTGTGGCTGTACGCCCGAAACTGGCATTGTCGCTTTGTGCGACACATCCTCAGAGTTGACGACTCAGTTGAGCCAAGGCAATCATCCCACAGGTACCCCCCAGGTTCCCAGGTTCCCCGGTTTCTCGTGGCGTTTTGAGGCATATCGTCTGTCTCCTCCCCAGACGGCATCTGACAGCCGCCCTTGGCGTTGGTTGTGCATACAAAGACTCTTCGAGTACTAAACTAGCCCTTGGGAACGTCTTGATATTCTCTGCCAGGTGTAAGCAGCAACTTGTTTCCGTTGCTCAAGTTGACTTGTCAGTTTAAAAGGGTTACATTGAGCAACCCTCAGAACACCACACTTACTCAATTCCCCAACAAGTTTTATTCTTTCACAGAAACGCATTCCTTCCTCCTTCATCCCGTCTCGTCCTCCTCCCCCCACCCGAGAACCATCGGCAGATATTGCCATTTTGACGCAACTCTTTCGAGGTCCCATCACCAGAGAATGACAGCGACCCTTTCGTTGAAAATAGCATGGATCAAGCAAGCCAGCTGTATCAGAAAGATACCGTCGACGTGAACGACCAAGCCACCCGCGATGCGCAAGATCTCGCCGCACTGGGCCATGCACAGACACTTACTCGCAAGTTCAGTCTCTGGAGCATGCTTGCTTTGGCCTTTTGCGTGTTAGGAACATGGTCTACTATGGCTCAGGATTTGGCCACTGGCCTCGTCAATGGCGGCCCTGTAGGTATCCTCTGGGGCCTCGTCCTTGTGACGGCTTGCAACACCTGTGTTGCCATTTCGCTGGGTGAACTCGTCAGCAGCATGCCTACGGCTCTCGGACAGGCGTATTGGATCCAACATCTGTGGAACACCCCAACCGGCCGGTTCGCGTCTTACATGTGTGCGTGGATCAACACCTTTGGATGGTGGACATTGGCGGCTTCCCAAATCGCCTTTATGACAGAGTTTCTCCTCTCCATGAAGCTCATGTTTGATCCGGAGTGGCCAGGCACCGAAAAAGGGTGGCTTCTCTTTATTGTCTACGTCGGCATCACCATCTTCTTTACCATCATCAACTACGTCTCTTGCCGCAAGGAATGGATCCTGCCAACTTTCAACAACTTTGTGGGCGTTGGTTTTGCTGGCCTCTTTGTTGCCTTCTCCCTGGCTCTGCTCATATCCGTTGGTACAAAGGCAAATCTCTCGTTCCAGTCGGCATCATTTGTGTTTGGGCAGTGGATCAACCAGACGGGCTGGGGCGACGGCGTTGTCTGGTTCCTCGGCCTGGTGCAGAGTGCTTATGGCTTGACGGCGTTTGATTCCGTCATTCACATGGTGGAGGAGATTCCTGCGCCTCGACGCAACGCCCCGAGAACCATGTATCTTGCGGTCCTGATCGGTGCTTTCTCAGGCTTCATTTTTATGGTCGTCTGCCTCTTTAGTATCCAGAGCGTGGATGGCGTCTTAAATCCCGCATCTGGCAATCCCTTTATTGAGCTCGTCCAGTCAACCATTGGGCAAGTTGGCGGAGCCGTCATGATTGCCCTGTTCATTTTCAATGGCCTGGGTCAGGGTTCCAGCGTGCTCACCTCGGCTTCTCGACTGACGTGGAGTTTTGCGCGAGATGGCGGGTTTCCCTGGGGCGTCTGGTTCTCTCACGTTGACGAGACGTGGATGGTTCCTGGCCGCGCCCTGTGGCTACAGTGCGGCATCATTTGCCTAGTTGGAATTCTCTACCTGTTTGCCAGCACCGTCTTGCAGGCTATTCTCAGCGTCAGCACCATTGCTCTGACCATTTCTTATGCTATGCCCATTATTTCACTCATGGTGGTTGGCCGCGATAAGCTGCCTCCTGGCGGAGAATTCAAGCTTGGCCGGCTTGGTCCCGTCATCAACTGGGTGTCAATTATCTACTGCGCCATCACGACGGTCTTCTTCTTCTTCCCAACGACACCGAACCCAGCAGTCAGTGAAATGAACTTTGCAATTGCTGTATTCGGCGTTATGCTGGTGCTTTCCATTGGCTTCTGGTTCGTCCAAGGCCACAGAACATTCATGCAGTTAGGGGGGATGGCTCAAGACATCCAAGGCATCTTGTACGCGGAAAACTGCGAGTCGAGCCAAGACGGATCTTCCAGCGCGGAACCTCGGCCGGACAACAAGATCAAGGGACAGACAAGCGAATTGACCAGCGACTGAAAACAGAGTGGAGATGGGGTTCCCCGGGATTGCCTCATCTAGACTGGTTTCAGTCGGGGCGAAGCAATCAATAAATGGAGATGGAACGCGGTTGCGGAGTTCGGGGGAGGAGAATATGGGGTCAAGGTGGACTGCGAGATTTTGCTGGCAAGGGGTCCCACCGAAGGTATTTTGGGTACGGTGTGTGCGAGGAGTTGTATGTAGTCATGCCCAAGAGGGAGGGGTATTCTTAACCTCGGGGTATTTTGGGTACTGCTTACACAAGTGCCGGGGTAGAAGCGCTACCATAGAGACTTGACTCGACGTGTTTGGGTTTCAGGCATGTATCTCGAGGAATGAAAACTGGGGTGGAGATTTGATTGATACTTACAGAGAAAGTGGTTGTTGATTCCTGCTAGCATGGCGCGTGCGATAGTGAGGAGACATGATGTGGCAATCATTTTATTGGGTTGCTTAATTTTATTTTAGGTCGTTGGTACTAGCCACCATGTTGCCTGTTATAGGAAGAAGATGGCGTATGGGAATCATTTCATTAGTGTGCACACAACCTTATTTCCCATTGCCTCTGGTAGTAAGACTGGTTTACATAGAAGGAGGGCATATATACAGTTCTTCACCCGTTTCCATGACTGTAGTTTACGTTGTTTGTATTTGTTTCTCTGATTACATGCGACTGTGAGGAGACACAGCACGGCACCCACTTCATCTATTTACATGACTTCGTTTCAACATGATCTGTATCGGCTCCCCCCCACTTCACAGCTTTGAACCCAAGTTGACGTGGACAGCCTTGGTTTCCGTGTAAGCGGCGAGACCAGCCTCGCCCAACTCGCGGCCAATGCCGCTCTGCTTGACGCCGCCAAAGGGCACCTGAATCTCAGAGTCGTTGGACGAGTTTACCCAGACCATGCCGGCCTCGAGAGCGGCAGCCACCCTGTGCGCACGCTCGATGTTCTGGCTAAAGACGGCGGCGGCGAGACCGTAGATGGAGTCGTTGGCCAGGGCCACGGCATCGGCCTCGTCGGCAAAGGGCGTAATGGTCACCAGGGGCCCAAAGACCTCCTCCCTAAACACGCTCATGTCCGGCGTGACGCGGGAGAAGACGGTCGGCTCGATGAAGTAGCCGCTGCCGCTGCCGGCGGTCTTCTGCGCCGAGCGGCCGCCGGCCTCGAGCCGGGCGCCCTGGGCCTTTGCGCTGTCAATGTACGACAGGATCTTGTCGTACTGGGCCTGCGAGACCTGCGGCCCGTGGGTGGTCTGCTCGGCAAAGGGGTCGCCGATGACGACGGACGTCTTGACCACGTCGAGGAAGGCGGCGACGAAGGCGTCCACGACGGACTCTTGCACCAGGAGGCGCGAGGTGGCGGTGCACACCTGGCCCTGGTTGCTCATGATGCCCACGTACGCCCACTTGGCGGCCTGGTCGATGTCGGCGTCGCTGAAGACGAGGAGGGGCGACTTGCCGCCCGTCTCGAGCGTGATGTTCTTCATGCCGATGCTGGCCGTCTTCATGATCTCGCGGCCGGTCGTGGTCGACCCCGTAAAGGCAATCTTGTTGATGCCGGGGTGGGCGGCGAGCGCGGACCCGGCGTCCCTCCCGAAGCCGTTGACAATGTTGAGCACGCCGGGGGGGAAGCCGGCCCGGCGGGCGAGGTCGGCAAGGTACAGGATGGATAGGGGCGTCTGCTCGGCGGGCTTCATGACGATGGTGTTTCCGGTGGCCAGCGCCGGGCCGAGCTTCCACGCCGCCATGGCGAGCGGGTAGTTCCACGGGATGATTTGGGCGCACACGCCGACGGGCTGCTTGAGCGTGTAGGCAAACTTGGCCGTTGTCGTCGGGATGGTCTGGCCGTGGATCTTGTCGGCCCAGCCGGCGTAGTAGCGCAGGCAGGCCGGCGTAGTGGCGCAGGCAGCCGATGACCTCGTTGAGGTCCTCGTTGAAGGAGACGCTGTAGGGCTTGCCGTTGTCCCACGTCTCAATGGTGGCGAGCACGCGCTGGTCCTGCTCGATGAGGTCCGCGAGCTTGTGCATGAGGGCGCCGCGAGCACCGCCGGATATGTCTCGCCATGAGGGGCTGTTGAAAGCCGCGCGGGCGGCTGTGACGGCGCGGTCAATGTCTTGCGCCGAGGCTGCTTCCACGGAGCAGATTTCTTGGCCGGTGCTGGAAGACGTGAGTTGGGGGATCTTGGCATTCGGGGGGGCCTGCGTTACCTTGGGCTGATGCTGGTGATGCGCTGCGATGAAGTTGACTTGACGAATTCATTGTTGATGAAGAGGCCGGTCGGCAGGGTGAATTCCACCCCGTTGGGAGCTTTGAGCTGCACCTGGAGGGCCATGGTGCGGATGCGGGTGTGTAGGTGGGAGGTTTTGCGTCGGTATATGGTGTTGCTCAAGCTTCTAGCCGGTCGGGAGAGCATCAACAGCGCGAGGGTATAAATGGAATGAGAGCTGAGAAGAGTGTTAAAAATAGACGGAAAGAAAAGAAAAGAAAAGAGGGAAAAAATCTCAGGGTTCGGCACAGTTCTTGTGTCGTAGTCGATGCCGTGACCGGGGGAAGCTCCCCAGTTTTCTCAAGGTTGCATGTCACTCTTGAGTCTTGCCCCTCGGGTTCCGTGGCACGTCGACTTTTGCAGCTCTGGCAAGTTGTTATAGGCGGGGTTTTCCCCGTTTTTTCCTTTGTTTCGTTTGTGTATTGACTCGACGGCACAGCTTGGGAGAATGCCGAGTCGTGTTCGATATTCCGTCCTTGGCCGTGCCTCCAAGTACCAGCTGGATGTGAACTGGTTCTGATGGCGCATACTCATACGCACACAACTCTCACCGGACAGCAATTTCTCGTCTCACGGGAAATATCGTCATCTTCACCCTGAACCAGGGGTAGACGCATCAATCCCGCAAGCCCAAGCCCAAGCCCAAGTATTTCCAAGTACACCTCCTTGATCCCATGGCGACGCCAACCCCCATACCCCAATACCCCAGATGACGCCGACCACGGCGGCACACGATCTGAAATCTGGCTGGGGTTTGTCGGGGGCGATGGGCGGCGGGCCACGGCTTCGGGCTCCGCGGGCACCAGAAAGCGGGCGCCGAGCGGCACGGCACACGAGACCCACCTTATTCTCCGGTTGTGGAAGTCTGGACCGGGATGTTGGCATTTGCGCTCCGTGCTTCATCAACAATAAGAATAAGAATAAATGGGGAACGGCCTTGGATGGGTGCCTGGTTTGTCTTGACTAATAAAACCGGCGGTAGCTGTCGTCGTGGCGGCCGTTACGAAACAACGGGAGGTTACTCCGTAATGTTTGCCAATCGACTCACGGGTGCGCACACGTGATGCACCTCTTCTTTTTCTGTGTGCAAGCAAGTCATTTTGTAGCTCTTGTCTTGCCTCATGGCTCTAGGTCTCGCATGTCTATATTGAATCCCACGTAGCCTCGGCTCAGCGACATGGTCTGGTCGAATACTCCGGCCAGGCATCCGGTTGTGAGATAATGACGTGGCGCGTCAAAGAATTGATGTATCATTTGCGCGGACTGTCCCATCTCGAAAGCGACCACTACACCTTCCGAAACTCCCTCGTTATTAGTCAAGCATACATGTGTGCTGTGAGATTGCCAGCGACAATGAGGGCAAAGATGGCCTGAGCGAAGTCGACGCGCAAAAGGCTCGTTTCTTGATGCAAATCCAGCTTATCGACTAAAAGAATGTCGCTCTACTTGTCGAATATGTTTGTTGATATGGTATCATATCCATTATAAGATATCCTGCTCAGCATCTTGCCAGGCGCAGGATTGGGCAGTGGTTGGTCACTCAAGGTAGGGGTCCGTCGATGGTAACGGAAAACAGCATTATGAGATTTGGCTGTGTCCCCGTTCCACGACGTATCCCGAGCAGTTCTAAGCAGAAGCTTACTACTGCCGGCTCCATGAGTATTTTTCGTCCTGAAGATGTTGGACACTCCGCTACCTCGGCATCAGCCATGATGTTCTATTCTGTTGCGTATTGCAACAAAAAAAAGAAGGAAACACCCACTGCCCATGTGATAGTTCCTTTCCTTATTCAAGGCAATATCGATGATTTCTACGTAAGCACCTGGACCCCCAACGCATTACCGGTCAAGCCATCCAGTGGTGTTTCTTTGCGTCCAAGCCTCCACATTCGTGCCCTGGGGTTCGAGACACCAGTTCGGTGACGGTCAAAATTACCGCGGCTTACAACCCTGCTCTTTTAGATAGCTTTTTACTCATGTTTTCTATTTGATGAGGCAGTGGAAACACCGCTATTTTGTCATGTATACACAGATATATATGTAGTATTCTGGATGCTATATCTCGCGACTGTGCTGTATACAAGCGCCTATTAACAATTGAATCCTTGCATGGCACCTTTTCACCGCTATAAATCCGTATACAACGCGTAGATGGCTCTTTGTGGTGCTTCAACAAGTTTGAGGTCCATCAAGGTCCAACTAGAGCGAGTCATAATCGGCAGGTGCTTGACTACCCATATTTCCGCACTAAAAGCCGTGGAGGAATAATGGCCAACCCAGGACAAGGACATGCTAGCTCTTTGTGGACTTTCTAGTTTATTTAATTTTTGTAAATTTAGCGTTCTCTCATAGCAGAAAGCTATTCCTTAAGACGGCGATACAGCATTGCTTGACTAGCATTGTAGACCTTGGCAGCAAGCCAAGGGCTTATATTGAAGTCTTATTTAATAATAAAACTATGAATTCTAGAATAATATAGTCAAAGACAAGAAGTACTTGCCCACCACTATACTTCTTGCCTCCCACTGCAAGTGTTACCAAACAATAGTACTAACCTAACCGTTTAAGCACTAAAGATACTTCTTAATAAAAGAGATGTAGCTGCCGACTCTGGTGCACACCATGGGATTCTCAGGACTGCATGGCCAGCGGCCGAGACCAAATGACACGACACCAATAAGCTGTCCCGTTTCCTGGTCAATAACAGGACCGCCGCTGTCTTTATCACATAAAGCCTTGCCATCTCCACCAGCACATATAACCGTAGTTCTACCAGAAAAACTCGCTGGAGATATCTTGAAACAGACCTCGCGGTCGCGGACAGGCATAACAACCTTACTAAGTTGCTTGGGCCAAGGCGTGATATCGGGTTGATAGCCCCTGGTCTCTGAATGAGCTCGTTTTTCTGCAAGTTCCAAGGTAAACAGCACTTACCAGCCGGCACTTATGGCGATTGAGTTGGGCACAGGGTCCGAGCCGTCCGCCGCCAGGGCCACATAGTCAATCGTGTCGCTCCTCTCAACCGGAGTTTCCAACTTCAAGATGCCAATGTCATTGACGGCATAAGGACCTCCAGGGTTGCCAAGTACGTAATCAGGGTGTTCATGGCGAGACTTGACATTTACAACGACGCCGTCGGCCGATATATTCTATATATTATTAGTCTTGTGCGGCGTATCAACGAGGAGAGGTGAGTAGACTTACCGCCGTTCCCGCCTTTATCGAGTAGGTGCCCCAAACGCAATGGGCAGCAGTAACAACAGTAGTGCTGTCCACCAAGGCCCCTCCGCATCTATGGCCACCGCCTTCTCCTCGGAGACTGACCATGAAGGGAAGTTCACCATCTTTGATATCTTCTCCGCCGGCAGTCCTCTTTTCGATAGTTGCTGCCGTTGCCGAAAGAGCGGAAACCGCGAGGGCTAGCATCATGGCAGCCTTGTGCGCCATTGTAAATACAGGAGTCGGGACAGCTAGTGATGGTCTTGGAGAATGTCAAAGTGTGAGATGCAGATGAATCGCAACGAAACGGTATAAATGGGCAGCCTGTGGTATTTATACTCGCACCTACACATTTATTGAGGCGTTTAATGATATGAAATATTTGAGAGACGCGTAAAACATGATCAAGGATCGGCAGCTCAAGAGCACAATCCATCATCTCCGTCCCCGTGCTCGTCTGATTCAAGGACTTGTATCCACGCGAAACGTCTGGGACAATGCCATGGAGAGCGCCCATGGATACCTCGCTTGTCGAGAAGATTAACTTGACGAGTCATGCGATCTCGAGACAAGTCATAGGAAATACAGGCCAGGTGAAGATGGATTATGCACTGGCTAGCTGTGCGTGGTCAAGTGGGACGAACGATATCGAGTCTTATGATAATTCTCAGGTGCTACTCGGTATTAGTCTCCGCACAATATATCTGCTCCGTGTTTAAACCAATCTAAACTGCAATAATATGTTCCTGGATTTTATTTTCTGCAGGGATTGCCGACACCCCTTGCAAGGACCCAAGAGTTTACTTACCCCCCTACGGTACTGACCGCCAGCTAGGAAGCACCGAATCAATCGATAACCTGGCACCGTGTGCTTATAGGGACCCGTATCAGAGTGTTGGGCTGACATGGAGGAGTGAATCAACCGAATCTAGTCAATTTCACAATGTCTATTAAATACGCGAAACCTTGCGGCGCCTTAGTCGCATATATCCGCTCTCTTCCTCTGACACTGTCAAAAGACTCACGCTAAAACGATATGCCTTAATGTCAATAACAGCCAGTTGTAGTTTTAGGGCGAGCCTTTTGGGTAGATTGGCGGTAGGAGACCAGGAATCACGATGAACGCCCGCGCCTGATTGTCAGCGCATTGAGCCGGCTCGGTAGTTGGCCGGAATTGCCATGTACTCGTAAGCCCCCGTTCAATAAGCATCAATATAGATTAATATTATTCGGTTCGCTACGGGTCCAATGCAAAAGGGTCGTCGGCCCCGTCCCATGCTCGTTGCGCGAGTAAGCCTTTCTTGGCTGAGACGGGCACCATGACATACCGCCAACACCTATGCTTGCAGGGTATTCCTTGAACCCAGTATGAAACGTCGGCTGGGAAATAACTATGGGATGATTAGAATACCCGGATGAGTTGCAATTAGGGACAAGCTCAAGTCTAGGAAGATGTTTGACAGTTTTGGTACTTGAGGGCTAGGATCGAGAGTGCCCTGGCCTGCTGCGGTCTGTCATGTATACACAGGCCTATACAATACCTAGAACAACGAAACATAATCTAGTTGGCCGAGTCAAAATGGAAACCTTGCCGAGCCTAGACATAGAAGCTACGCGTAGGAATTATGCTAGCAGAGTGCGCAAAAGGCTGTAGTCATGGCTGGCGGACACTCCCACATGAGGCGGCTGCCCATTCGAATTTAGCGATACCATGAATAACAAAATCATCGGATTTGATTCTCTTTACAATATTCGGTCAAGACGAGCATAGGATAAGTCCAAGGATCGGTGGGTATATTTTTATGCAATCTCCGCTGATTGCTTGCAAATGACTCCATTATGGGTAGCCTTCAAGTCGTACGTTTTGCTGTGGTAACCATGACAAATAATAGAGCGAAACAGGCATTCCGACTCAGCAACGACACGCCATGTGCGTATCATTGCACTGTTGCCGCTTTCGATTGCATCATGTGCCAAGCACAGGATAGGTTTTAATTAAATCCGACGTGTTTATTGAGTTGAAGCGGGAGCGGCTACGGGCGAGACCCACCATTTATTCAACCAGACTTCAACATAGGAGGAAACGAGAGCAAAATCGTTACTCTATCGTTACTGCGTGGCGACTTGAGCGGAACGTAGTTGATTTGCTCGGTACACACCTCCGTCTGAAGCGCCGGGCCTGCCAGAGCCGCGTGACAACCCACATTAAACATGAAAACCTTCAATGTTTCATATTGATAAATTCATCACTAGCGCTTTCAGCACTACCGCTGGCGCAGCGGTGGACGTGGAAGCCCATCTACGACCTATGGAATAGCAACTCGAACAAATACTTGGGACTATCGGGCACGTCCACTGCATACGCAGCAGAACTCGAAGCTTACTACTATCCTTGTGGCGTGATGGTACGGGGTGTGGGCTGAGATATTACCGACAACAGAAGATATCAACTAGAGGGACTGCTGGAAATTTTCTATCCCTGCACAAGAATGTGCCAATGACTCGTGGGTAGTTGAACATGACAATATAGCATTATCATAACTGGTCATCAAGTCCATGTCAAGCAGCTCATCAGCTCATCTAGCACATTATTGTTACACGGAGGTCACGTAGCATTGCAGGCACGACTGTCCCTTGAATCTGACGATAATTACACAAGAGTTCGAGACCTATTTGAGGCCATGGGTTTCCAGGCTCGCTTGCTCACCCCTGCTTTACACGAATACGGCTCGGCTGCACCCAGAGGCCTTGGCGAAACTAGAGACCTTTAATATGAGAGCGAATTATTAGCGGAATACAGATATCATTCCATGCCCTTATATATAAGCCCTTGTCACAATTGTCAGCCGAGAAAAGTGGAGGAGGAGTGCATATCTACGTTGCTATATACTAGAAAAGCACCGAGGTCGGATAACATCGCTTCTGTGAATTGGTCTTTCATGGAAGGGAAGTGCCGAACAACTTCGAGAGGTGTCTTTGGCCCGCGAGGATGTAGCTTTACATGCATGGGAGGAGCTCGCAATAGGTGTTGCCAAAAGTCTGTCACGTATGTCAATAGAACGCCTTTAATACCAAAGACTTTTATTAGATGAATCGAGTTATTATTCCAAGCCCTCACTGAGCCGTTGTCACAATTATACACTTGACCAAATCGATACCACCTCGGATATCAATATTCGCAAAATGATTCCCGACCTAAACAGACACTTGAGGCAATTTTTGACAGAGATAAACTTCACCAAATCACACGATCCTTCCTCTCCTGGGTTGAGCCTGGAAAGAGTATTCAGGTGAAAAAGATACACACTCTACCCATGGCACGTTTTATTATAAATTGATCAAGAAAATAATAATACTTAATTAATGTAACTTTTCGCAGAAAGGGTTTGAGTAAGATGGTCTTGGACAAGTATGGTGCATCAGTACAATGGTATAACCTCGGGGGCTGTTGTCAGCCAACTTGCGCAAATACCACGAGACAACAACAAACACCAGTGTGACGCACTCATATAGTCTAGCAGCTTGTTTCACTTTTGACACCAGAGGCTCCTATCAGCGTGGCAACAAACTCCGCCTCGTGGGAAATGTGTGGCCGCAACATGATGATAAAGTGATGTAACAGATGCGTCATGCCGCTGAATCGACATCTGATATTGGCTGGAAGCCAGTCAGGTAGTTGCCTCGCGCAACGGCCCGTCTCGCGCGAGTTGTATTTTGTAATCAAGGTGACATGTCAGATTTCTCCGTGATATACCGAGTACATATTGGGAGCTCTGCATGAAACAGGCTATAGGGTTGCAGTGTGACGTCGAGAATCAAGACAGACAAGACAGCGAGTGAGCAAGCAATTAACGTACTATTAAAGCATCGTGACGCCTCCCAGTATTTTCAACGTCTATTTTCAAATCCCCCCTTGCGCTTCTAGTCTGTTTCAAGCATCAACACTAAGGTGACAAACGCGCCGTTCGACCAGTTACAACACTATGCCAAACCGCCACAGGGGTACATACGCAGAAGATTACAGCGACGAGGATTACAGACCATCTCGGTCGCCGGGTAGGTTAAACCAAGTCGTCCACGGGCAGTCCCACGACGCCAAAGAGATGGTCAAATCGGCATTTTCCAGCCATGGACCCAGGCGTCAGGCAGAGCCCTACGAGTATGAAGCCTACTCCGACCGACGAACCCGACGCCATGACAATTACGCGCCCGGCCACGGACACAGAGAAACAGACTACTATCGTTATGACGGCCGTCGCCCACGACGAGGGCGATCATTACACAGCGAGGAGAGATATGTCGGCGGGAGAAGAGACCATTCCCACCACCGTCGACAGCCGAGGGCGCGATCCCATAGCGAAAACCGCGTCAAAGAGGCTGCAACGGCGGCCCTGGCAGCGGGTTTGGCGGAGGCTATCAAGTCTCGCCACAGCCGGGACCAGTCCAGACGTGCTATTACAGCGGCGGCCGGAGCGGCTGCAGTGGATGCTCTTGTGAGCAATGGGGAAGACGGGAAGAAAGGACGGCGTATTGCGGAGAGCGCTGTTGGCGGTCTCTTGATCGATCGGCTTGCAAACGGCAGTTCTAAGCGCTGAGAGATGTATATCTGTTGTTGGCTATACTTTCATTGGTCTCCGGACTGAACCTACGGGCGGCGGGGAGGCGTATTTAAAGGATGTATTATATCGTCGCGTATTGAATGAAGGACGAGACTTGTAGTCAACATGGCGCATAATTATACAATCTGGTGGTCTCGCGATGCTGTCTAGACCATATCGCAATAGGTCCTAGTCCTCGACAATGCTGACGACCTGACGCTCTTCGGCGCTGGACAGGCAGATGACCTTGCAGGGAGCTGGTACAAATACATTCCTCAAGCATCTACGGAGATGGTATTATAGACAACCTGTGATAGACGAATCGCTGGCACTCTTGATAGGGTTTCATGAAGATGCCTGCCCGCACGAATCAAGACGGCGAATGGAGACTTGACATAAGGGGCTGACGCCGCGCTCGAGGGTATGTACTCCGTACAGCTGCTCTATCCAGGAGCTTGTTCACGGCCATGTCGAAAATTGCATGTGCGGTGTGATATACGTGGATTGAGACTGGTCAACTGTGGCTTTGTCCTGAAGGCGGAATGGGGATGTTGAATGGTGTTGCACCAAAAAATCGGCGTGGCCGCGATACTTTTGCGTGCTCCTTTTTGGTGGCTGGTGGTGTTGTGGCGTTGTGGCTGGTGTACTGCCACAGCCACATTTCGACAACCTGATAAGCTGGATCTCACCTAAAGGTCGACTTTTCGGAATATCATTCCTTCCTTGTAACAAGGACTGAATTTGGCATCGAAACATCACCTCATTGTATCAGAGTATCCTTTCACAGTGCACAGCTCTGCGCATCAGAAAATAAAAAAAATGAGTACTCCTCTGTACAATGTACCGTCTGGTGACGTAAATGGCATTATCAGCAGGTTGGAACGCGAACAAGCCAGGCAACGGGCAGTCGACCGGGAGACAACACCAGAAGCAATCTTCCAAACGGACATGAAGCATTCGTACAAGTTGGAATGCGAATTACTGCACGCAAAATATGAAGACGACGAGATTGATAGAATCCGCCTAGGCATCGCCGATTCCAATTACTGGCAAAAGGACGCCGATTTCGCCGCCCATTGCTTATTGAATGCGTTGCTCGCCAATTTGCGCAAGAGGCATACTACTGATGGAGTTACCGACTTTAGGAGCATGAGTACGGAGCTCAGGCGTCTCTCGGAAGAGCAGGGACAGAGCTCGCAGCAGTTTCGCCGACAAAGAGACACCATCACTGACGAGCAGTACTGGGAAACGGAAGCCGAGCATTTCAAGCGTGAGTCAGCTCGCCACGAGTTTGAGACGCGAGAGAAATGGAGAAGCGACCTTGGGGCCATCCTGAGCCCTGCTCAGAGTGAAAGCGACAATGGAGGTGAAACTGCAACCCAAGAATTTCTCCATTGTCGGGGAATGATGCCATCTGTTATGCCGGAAGAATGTTAGGGACAGTCGGGAGCAAGGCCAACCAATACCCACGCCGGGCTTCGCGCCGTGCATCACGTCGCGCAATTCCCACCTCTGATCATTCACGATACCATTATACTCACCATTCAACAGAAAGCAAAAGTATTCTGCTTTGACATTTCGTCGTGTTGTACCGGACGACTTATACCCCAATTTCCTTCCCGGCATCCCTCATTTCACTCATCAAAATTGGGTTCAACCTCTCCAGCCACGTTGTGACAAGGGCTCGGAAAGAGGGCTTGGAGCAATTTAGCTCAATTCAACTAATAACAGTCTTTGGTATTAAAGGTCCTTGGTTTTCCTCAAGGCCTTAAGGGACCGAAGCCGTCTATTTATACAAGAAGTCGGTGAGGGCCTTCTGCCCTAGGTCCCGTGACCGTAGCCCTTGTGTAACCAGCCATTTCCGTGTAACACACGTCGAGCTGCAAGAAATCCGGTCAGAGTTTGGCATGGGAGCCGCCTTGTAGAACTGGGTACTGGAGAACACACAGACATTGCTGAGCCAAAGAGAATCGATATTGGACATCTTATCATACCGGCTTGGCGCCCCAAATTGTCTCCAGAGGAAATGAAACGATGCAAAGGACGTGCCAAGAGATTTCATCGTGACTACATGCGTGCTGTACCAAGGCCGCCCGAGCGTTATCTCATGGCTGAAATCCCAGATATAGACTAGGCATGGGAGGCAGGATGTATAAGCGAGCAGATGACTTTTACGCTTCCGGTGGCAGTTTTGCATCCGGTATAAAGGTGGAGGAGCTCAAGTCCAAAAGTGTTTTCGCCGCGAAGATTCCTCATTTTAGGCAGTCCGATTCAATCGCAACCACTAGAAGGAATTGGGAACTACTAGTGAGCGAGTTCCGCAGGCTTATGAAGCTAAGACATGTAGGTTAAGTCATTGGTACTGGTTTTGTCAGTACTGGATAGTAACTTCCGCAGACTAATATTGTGCAGGCCGTTGAGATTCTTCCAGAGAGGACACTTAACGAACCCCTATACTTGATCATGGAGTGGATACCGCGTGATCTTCGTTCCTTTTCCTTCAAAGACAACGAGAAGCAAGCTGTACTGGAACAAGTCAGCAACGGGCTGTCCTTCATGCACGATAATGCATTCGCGCACCGCGATCTCAAACCAGAGAATATTCTCATAGATGAATACGAAGGAGGTTTAGTCGCAAAGATAGCCGATGTCGGCATGTCTAAACTTGACAAAGTCGGAAATTTGCAAACCTACGCAGGTTCAATTGTCTACATGGCGCCGGAGCTTTGGGCGGAAGAGCACCGGGCTTGCACACAGGGTGATGGCACTTGAATTAGTTACCGACTGGGATTCTATTCTGAACGATATCCCCATAACTGGGCCACCTGGTGCCGCACAACACAACATGTAGCTTACCGGGTATATTATACCTCGCTTAAACCTGGCCCCGGCCAAGTATCGGGAGTTGCTTACCGGGCTGTTGGTATTGAGTCCTGGGGACTAGTGGACTGCATCTCGGGCTCGGGAATGGCTTCAGTATATCCCACATGATATGGGCAATCAAGCTGAGGATTCAAAGCATGACGTCTCTTCCGTAGAATCTGACGGCGGCGCGAGGCGTGTGCGCAGTGCCCGCACAACCCGTTCAACAACACGAGCAGATAATGCTTCTTTAGCCCGGTCCTTGCTGAATTCGGAAATCTCTTTGTCAGATACGGACCCGCAGCTCGCCATGGTTTCGGCTTACAAACTCAGACGAGGTAGAATGACACTGAACCTTCCAGTACATGTTCGTCGGCGTACTCGGGTTGAGAGAGGACAGGCCGTGTCAGACGGTAGTAGACCTTTGCGGTATTGTTGATGCGCTGTTGGATTTACAAAGTGGCTCTGATGGCCGGTCTGGCCACGACTTCAATGTCTTTATTGAGCTTGCAAATCGGCATCAACGAGCGTACATGGGCTGGTTTCTTGTGAGCTTCCCTCAATGCAATAAGAACCCGTTTCTTACTCCTGCACAACATAAATAAAAGTCGTAGATTCATCAGAAGCCGTACGCTTGGGCATATAGCTCCAAGGTTTCCACACATTCAGGCTGCTCCAGAAACCGCGATATATAGTCCTTCAACCGCTCTGAACCGGGCTCAGCTGTGTATTTGCTTTGCAAGATTCCCAATAATCCGGACACCATCCAGATTGCTGACGGTCTATTACCGATACGATACGATGGAGCTTATCCCGAGATGGAATAATATTGCCAGGATAAAGGTCGGAGTGTGTGAAGACGACGTCGGCGTCGTCCGGTACGTCCTGTCAGTACGGATCAGGTATATCAGGGTCGACACCCGGCCAGTGCTCACTCTACCCTCTTGTCAGCACTGCGGAAAGCCAGGCGTGAAACTCCTTCACGCTTGTGAAAGGACCAGCGCATGGCAGAACCTCATGTCCTCCAGTGTGGTGCCGGATACGAGCTCCATGAACAGGTAGGTAAAATTGCCATCCCGAGTCCAGCCATATATTGTAGGGACTGGAACGCTGGCTAAAGCGTGCCGTAATGCCCAGAGGCGCTTTCCGCAATGCTAACTCGCTTGCAAACTTGACGAGCAGGCCAAGTTGCTTGAGCGCAACTATTCGGCCTGATCTGCGGCTTTGGTAAGATGGTGCTCGGGCAGCGCTCGTCGCAAGTACTCTTGGAAGGCGTGGGAAACGCGGCATTTTCACCATGATGCAAAAAGAACGGTGAATCTCTGAAAGTGGCAGAGGGCCCAGAGGGCAGCGACTTTGTTGATGTTGCCTGAGATGATGCCATTTTCGCCATCATGGCTTCCTCTTAGGTTGGCGGCGCCGTGTTAGCTAGACGGAAAAGATTTGTTCAAGCTTTATCCGACGGCGGGATATCTCAAGGGCACTAGACAAGATGAGGTCGATCAGAGTATTGTACTGAATGCTCGTGGCGCCATGTGGCTCCGGCCTGGTTGATGAACAGGGCTCGAGTAAGAGGGCATGTCCAGGACACAACGGTGCCCGGCCTTTTTCTCGGCTACCAGGTTGGAAGTGAAACTTTATACCCGTCAGCGACACGTAGTCGCTAGTGCACTTATTCGTCAAGCGGTAGTCGATTGTTTGAATATCCAGATTATCGCGTTTCCAGGATTCAATAGCGCCATTACTGTGCTTGTATGTATAGGCGCAGAATGTATAAAGAGGCACTGTGGTCCTTCTCAAGGTAGCATTCTACCTTGCTTTTCTATCTCCCCTCTTTACCAAGCTTCTACACCTCCAGCAGCAATAATAGCTTGTACGTTGCCGGTGGCTCGCCAACCTGTTCTGTCCAGGTCTCCCCCCCACTACCTTCTTGCACCTCGATAAGACTACGCCTTACATCCCAAGTCAGTGTCCAACCCGTCCGACGTGTTGGCCGTTGCTCCGTGGCATTGGAAGGGAAGCAGGCGCGCAGGCGCTCGAAAGGCGAGGTACTTCTAGCGCAACGAGGGCATTATTGATGCCTGCTAGCAACAAGAGTTGGTGATGAGATGGGCCTTGAAATACGCCAAGACAACGCAACATAAAGGAGTGGATGAATCTGAAGTGGGGAAAATCCATACTGTTTCGGGAAAAGATATTGCCTAAACTTCCAGCTATAGCCAGCAGGATCTGCTTTGCAAGGAGTGCGGTTGCAGCCTGTTCTCTTGAGGATTCCTATGTCAGGTCAGAGTTTGCTCCTTGTAACAATATCGCGAGAGGTGGAGATTACACAGCTAGGATTAAATCCAGAAACAAGTATACTATCATGGTTGCAAAAGATTATTTCGCCACTGATCTTGTCAGGAAAGCCTGGCAGGATCTCAGTGCTAAGCTTGGAAGCAACCTTGAGAGACTCAACACGCTAAACTAGCGAGTCAAGTTGCTGTGTGTGACAAGGGTTCAATATGAAGGCTTGGAGCAAAAGGACTCAATTCAATAATAATCTCGTAGGATGTCAAAGGTCCTGAGTTGCTAAAAGAGAGGAAGAGAAGGGTGACCGCCTTATATACATAAAAGGAACGCCCGGGCCGAAGGTCCTTGCCCGGGCACGTGTTCTAGCCGTGTAACCAACAAGTCCTGTATCGGCGAAGCCCCTTTGTTGGGCTTCACGATCTGTTGGGCCTTTTCCGTGTAACACTGTGCCATGTTGCTGAGCTCACTCTCTGTAGTACTCTCTATACCAGTGCCAAATCCATATTCTATACTAGACCAGTTTGCTAGCCTTTTGTAAGTGCCTGGACCGGAAATAAAATCGCTGAGAGCGCTGGCAGCCACGACCTCTGGCGACGCCAAATATGCGAGCGAGTCTAAGACATTATCAGCAAGATGATGTTATTTTCCAAGACCGTTTCGGAGCGTAAAGCACGAAACCCGCATTTCTATCAACGAGCCTCAGGATGTTCCTGGAAGGAGATGAAATCCCGACCTAGACAATGGTGAGTTAGGTCCGTTATGGGAGATATACACGACTACCCGCTTCACCAGCTTCAAGCAACCCGGTTAAACCAATGCACTGCGAACAACCGGATGGCATGGGCTGTGCCCTGGCATTCACCAAGGCCTGCCAGTCACCTGTAGCTTCAGCAGCCTCTTGTTCGGATGCCGAGGCTGCCGCGATGTAGAGTTGGACACGGTCGGCAATCCTGGGAATAGTACCGGGGTTAGACTTGGCAGCTGCACTGAAGTCTGAAACTTGTGAATTAGTACAAGAGACAATGCCTAGTATATACGCACTCTTCAACGCAGTATTACCCAAATACTACAGGCATCTGTCCGCACGACAGGCGTGCGACACATGCTACCCCCCATCATGGTTGCTGTGGGAATCAGAAGCCACGCACATAGCGCCTGGCCATGCAAAGGCTTCCTCTAGCATTATTTGATGTCCAATGTCACTTCCTGCTCCCGAGCGCAGATTGGACTCGGAGACGTTTCCCATGTCGTGGTCGAGCGCTACAACAATGTGTTGTGGGCGATTGATGCGTGTGGCTCCCATTGACATGAACTTGGAGGCGGCCACGAGTTGGCTATCCTGCGACTGATTCAGTGGTCGGGTGGTAGATGAGTCATGCAGGTACAATTGACTAACCATGGGTCATACAATGCTCTGGGGAAATACTAAAATAGGTCCTGAGATGGGTGAGAAGCACCAGGAGATCGGCAAGGTGTTGATTGTGCACACCCTTTCTCGTGAGCTGTCCGCTCCATGCAGGAAACAACAAGGCGACGGCGGGGAGTCGGACAAGCAAGGGCGAGACGAGGGAACGGAGAGCGAACCAGAATCGCCAGATCGGACTTGACATTCTGCGCCTGGTCTCGCCACTACTTGGGATGCCCCCGAGCGTTTGTGTTTGCCGGCAGAGTTTGGGCTGCAGGGTACAAACATTGAAATCGGCAGACCTGCGGTGCGGGAGCATTCAAAGCATCTACACCCACTGTATACAATCACGATGTGAATGTCTCACACGAGGCGACAGCGGTCCGAAAATCCACCTTTGATATCCAATGGTGCACCTGCACAGTATCGTATCAATTGAACGCAACCAATTAATTGCAAGTGCTAGAAACGAGCGTGTAGATAACGCAACGGTCCTAGCTGAGTGTATTGACAACTAGCTAGGCGACCACGAGTATCTAAAAACTAGCAAGAGAATAAAGAGAAAGGGAGCAAGCAAAAAGAGAGCTCAACACGTGGTTGATCTCGCTTCTAGATGGGCCAAAGGCGAGAGTGCAAGCCGAGCCACATCGGGCTCAGCCCGTCACACACGTAACCCCATGCCCCGGTCCTCCAGCATAGAAATAAAAGCGCACGGGTTTGCAGCAATCCTCAATGTTTGGACGCAAGCAGGGTCTCTTTGCAATAGAGAAGCTAGTTGCTTATCCGGGCATTTGTGGGAAGCTGTTGCTTATTGCCCCTTAAGTTTCAAAACCTTAGAAGCACACGCGTAAACAGCCTTCCAATAGTCTTTTTGCGCATTCAAGTTGTCAGGCTTCTTCTTTTGCTCAAAGATGCACTGCGTTATAACGGGATGGCACTCGTCCTCTGGCTGTTGAAACTGGCTGCAGATTATTTTCTCCACCTCTTGAGGCGAAACCTGAGGAGTGGACTGGGACTTCTGGAGGTTTTTCTAGTTAGTATACTGTATATGTAAAAGTAATATTTTTTATTTCTTACCGTCTCTTGGGGCTTAGGAGTCTCCTGTGGGCGGGCCCACGCGTTGTTTTGTGCTGGAATGTCGCAGCCAATTATGAGCTATGCTCGATAGACGCATTAGAGAACTAGTGCAATTTTTTCAAGAGGAGGGGGAGAAGGGGGGACTTACAGCATATGTCTGGTCATGAGTCCGGGCTTGATAGCATTTTTCGCACTGAGGTAGTTGTACATCTTATTAGCAACTCTACGCAAGTATGTGCGTTCTTGTACTTACGCCGCCATTTTTCTGGCAGACACTGGCAAAGTTATTCTTCCGCTATATTAGGATAGTTTAATTAGTCGAATATCTCTTAGACGACGACTACGTAATTGGTACGAAATATCTTACAATGCTCCCCTATAACCCAGTTATTAGATCAACGCACGAATAATAGTAGGCATCGTACAGGTGGCAATCTGGAGAGAACACTTACTTGTTTTGGAGGATTACTCAAACAGAAAACTTTAGTCTATTTTAATTAGAGTATTAGTTATAAGAAGTTATATTTAAAAGAAAAGAGGGCTGGTAAGGGGGATTCAGGATCTACATACTGTCCATTCACCTTTTACTGTAGTTGCTGATGTATCGCAATTCATTGACCATTTCTGGAATTTAGCTGAGACCTCTTGTTGCGTCTATAGTCGTTCAATTAGCTTTCTGCTAAAATAAACTTGACATACTTGTTTATTGAACAGCAGGATTTACGTACCATGGCCTTGCCGTCTGCATCCCCAGGCAATTCTTGCGCCAGAGCCAGACTAGCAAAAGTCACAAATATAAGCTGGGTGTGCTTCATTGTCTCCAGAAGTTTCTCTAAGTAAATAGAATATTTCTTTGATAAATAATTAAGTGAGAAAGGTGCCTTGTCTTAATGTAGAAGTTAGTATATTACTTACTTAAGACCCCAAGCCTTTATATATCACAAAGTTTCCCAGATTATATACAGCTTATATAATTAGTTTCAGGTAATATAATATATTGAGGCATTAACGTAATTATAAATTTAATGTAAATGCATGTATTGATATAAGACTGACTCGTTATTACTCCACGGGCCTGACATTTTGGCTACACGGGCCTGACTCTTACACGGGCTTGGCTTTTACCGTTTCTGATTCGCCTAAAAATTCTTGACCCGTAGAAACTGCCGTGCAAAGGCGGAGTAACTACCTAGGTAACTTCCCTAACAGCCCTTATAAACCGCCTTATATCTTCTATTACAGGCTTATCGCGTACTCTTTCGAGCGTAAGTCTACTTTTTTGGAAGCCCGCGATCTATATTATTATTTTACGCTGGTTATCAGAACGAGGTAATTGTAATATAACGTAAATAGATTAAACTATAGTTATTTTATTGCCTAATAATTCATAATATAACTTGTATTTTCCTTTATTGTCCTCGTCTAGTTCTAATTACCTCTTAGTCCCGCGATAATCGTCCTTACTATAAGCCGCTGGATTAACTAGCAGATTAGGTGCCTGCAGTAGGTCAAACAATGTAAGTAAAGGTCTGATACTCCAGGTGGAGGACCAGTGTACAAAGTGACATGGAGCTAACAGAAAAATTTAGACCAATGAGAAGTGGTAAAAATCAGGCCCGTGTAAGAGTCAGGCCTCAGATATCGGGCGCAGCCCTGTCACAAATAAAGTAAATGGGGGCAGCGTTATGTCTCACAACCTGATGTACCATAGCATTGAGTCAACTTTTGGCTTTTCTGATCAGGGTACTCTGGCGTCTTGTCCAAAGCAATGTGGGCTTTCCCCTCGTATTCGAGACTGGACGGCATAAGATTGCAGGTACAGAAATCATGCAACTGCGCCAGGCCGCAGTCAGACTTGACTCAAACTTAGCAATGTGGAAGTAGAGAGTGTAGAGTAGGTGGGGGGTCAATTCAATGCTAAATAAGTAATTCAATGCTCAATCAGTAATTCAATGCTAAATAAGTAATTCAATGCTCAATCAGTAATTCAATGCTAAATAAGTAATTCATGTAAACAAGGATTGCGCATAACGGTACGAGGCTATCTGCCCTGGCACGGCTATGCTAGCAATGGGTCATTTTGCTGCCGATTATGCATCATACGCAATGCAGCTAAAGTAGAAGAGAAAGAACAAGGTTTTGCCCCATTTACAAGGGGTCAATAGGATTTCTTTTTCACGGCAAGGGGTAGGTTTTGTTATGCTGGTGGGCGAAAAAGCAAGTCCTCTTCAACAAGTTAACAAGGTAGCTGGTAGAACAGACAGCTCCTCGAGACCCAAGATGATATCTTGTCGTGGGGCATTCAACCTTGATCGCCAGCATTTCTGCACCATGGCTTCAAACTCATTTTCGTTAGATACGTCCGCGAGGTCCAGGGTTAGGGGATCACTTCTGCACAGGGTGGCGATCAACTCAAC